GTGGAGCTCTGGGGACCATATGCAGGGCCAGGGATTGAACCTGGGTCTGTTGTGTGCAAGGCAAACACTTTACGGGCTCTACTATCTTTCTGGTTCCTCTTCTAATTTATTTTTATCTTTTTAAATTTAATTTTCATAAAGTTGTTCACATTAATTGATTACATTCAATATTCCAGCACCAATCCCACCACCATTACACCTTCCCATCACCATTATTTCAAATTTTCCTACCGTCATTCAAGCCAGGGCAAATGCTAGATAATTTATTTTCTGTGCTTATTATGAACATCATGGAATTTTAAAATTGTAAATGGTTAGGGTCCAGAGACATCTCTGTAGGGAGTTCATCTATTTTGAGATTCATTTGGGAGTCTCTGGATCAAGGCCGTTGATGTGCTGAGATGGCACCTGGAGGCAGATCCTGGGTGTGACAGCCAGGACCCCAAGTGGGCAGGGAGACAGGTAGGGACAGCCTGTCTCTGCTGCCGTCATGTGCCCTGGAGTCTTAGTCCTTGAACCCGCATACCTGGGTTTTTTTATTTGTTTTGGCTTTTTGGGTCACACTTGGCAATGATCAGTGGCTACTCCTGGCTCTGCACTCAGGAATTACTCTTGGTGGTGCTAGGGGGACCATATGGAATGCCAGGGATTGAATCCAGGTCAGCAATGTACAAGAAGGAAGCCCTACCCACTGTACTATTGCTCCAGTACCATACCTGGGTTTTGCTTCTGGAAGCTCATGGCTGCCAGGGTTTCATGTGGCGGAGCTGGTGGAGAGGGCACATCCGCTCCATCTGAGGTGCCCTGGTGGAATTATTTTTACCTTTTAAAAGTCTTTTCTTTTTCATGTGTATTTGTTTTATTTTTAAATCTTTCTGGAATTTGGGATCAGAAAGATAATACAAACAGGTAAGGTACTCTTCTTGTGGCCCACCCAGTTTCGAGCTATCACCCAAGCCAAGAAAAGTAATTTTTTTAATAACTTGTCATTTTTTTAATTTTTGGGTCACACCCAGCGATGCACAAGGGTTACTCCTGGCTCATGCACTCAGGAATCGCTCCTGGCAGTGCTTGGGGGACCATATGGGATGCTGGGAATCGAACCTGGGTTGGCTGCGTACAAGGCAAACGCCTACCCACTGTGTTATCACTCCAGCCCCCACGAAAAGTAATTTTAAATATTATTTAGTACTAGATTTTAAAATTTTATAGAGGCCTTTGCTGTATTCAGTCATATCAGAATACAGCATTTTTTTTTTCTTTTTGAGTCACAGCCAGCATTGCACAGGGGTTACTCCTGGCTCATGCACTCAGGAATTACTCCTGGTGGTGCTCAGGGGACCATATGGGATACTGGGAATCGAACCCACGTGGGCCGCGTGCGAGGCAAACACCCTACCTGCTGTGCTATTGCTCTGGCCCCAGAATACAGCATTTTATATGTGAAGCCCAGATAGAAGCAATAAAATAATGCTCCTGAGCAGTGCTCTGAATGTACTAGTGCTCACCTATGGTACTGGGGGTCACCAAGGAAACCCCAGTAGTGCCTGGGGGGGCATATGGTGCTGGGGATCAAAATCAGGTCTCTGTGCATGCAAGATATGCATCCCTGACTACAGAATTACCTTCCCAGCCTCCATAGTGTATTTTAATCAATTAGTTTTACCACCTCCCTTAATTATTTTTCAGGGCTTTAGGCCATATCTGGCTGTGTTGGCTCAGTGCTCAGGGGTCCCTGCAGAGGTGCTCCAGTGACTCTACAATGTGGAGGATCGAACCCAGGGCCTCTGCACAAATCATGCACTCCACACCTTTGACCATCTCCCAGGATCCTGCCACCATGATGTATTTTTAACTTTGTGTCCATAAAGCAACCTCTAAGGACACATATTTAGGGAAGAGGGAAAGAAAATCCTGAGATGGTCTGAGTTTAGTCTGAAGGGAGAATCCTTCCAGGTGAGAATGCAGGCTCACATCACTAGCTAGTTCTCAGATTTCTCCTGCAGAAAAAAACTGCTTTCTTCTTTGTCACCAGATTATAGCTGTAATCAGTTCATCTAAACAGAATCAGATAAGGTTATTGAATGGAGGACTGGGAGTGGGGGAAGGCTTATAGTACATTTCCAATAGTTGCCATAATAACAGACATGCATGTGTCCACACAGACTAAAACAAATTTTAATGAATGAGGGTCCCAAATTATGGGTAAGAGTCCTACCACTATTCCCGCTCCAAAACAGTCCTCAATAAAATTGCTCAGTGTTCTGCTTGTGAGGGAGGGGAAGAGAGTTTGGAGGCATGCACTCCGGGGTGACTTTTTTTTTTTTTTACTTATTTTCCAAGGAAAAATAAATATGTAATTGTGTTTACATAGTCAGAGTTGATCAACTTAGCCAAGGCATCTTTCTCTTGTCTGGAATTGTGTGAGAGGCATCCAGCAATGGGACAGGAAAGAGGAACAAGTGCCCAAGGTGAAGAGTCATGGCATCTACACAGGAGATACCAGAACAATTCTGGATCTGGGGCCTGGAATGAGGGCAAAATGGCAGAGAGTGCCTGCCTTGCAAGCATATGGTTATAAGGTTATAAGTTCCAGTCCCTGGTGTCCCATGTGTGATAAGCATGATCCAGGCAGTTCCATTTTAGGCCGACAGCACTGCTATCTCTTATTCCCAGTACCACCAGTGAGTTCCACACAGTCATGTGTGAGTAAGCACCACAAAAAGCTGGTGAGCAACACAGCTAAAAGATGTATGAGTATTGTGGTCACGGGAAGTCCATGACCTCTGGCAAGTAAGTGTATGAGCACATCCAGGGTCTCTGGAAAGCACCACATTCTTTTTTAATCCCCTAATTTTATTTTAAGATTTTATTGCACACTTACTAATTGAAATTAATTAAAATACAAGGTATCAATTTAAATGTGCTGGGAGCATTACAAAATAATTGGTTCATAGAACAAGTATTTACTTGCAACCAACATATTTCTTTCTCTTTTTTTTAAATTGAATAACCAGTAAATACACAGTTACAAAGTTGTTCATGATTGGGTTTCCGTTATACAAGGTTCCAACACCCTTCCCTTCACCAGTGTACATTTCCCACCACCAACTTCCCCTCTCGGCCTCCCCTGCCCCTCCTTCACCAGTCTGCCTCTATGGCAGGCACCTCTCTCTTGCTCTCTCTCTCTCTCTCTCTCTCTCTTTCTCTCTCTCTCTTTCTCTCACTGTGTGTCTCTCACCACCACATCCTTAACTTGTATGCTTCAGCTGAGAGTGTGGGTCCTGGTGAGCAAGTGTACAAACACTGCAGCTAAAGGAGTGCAAACCTCAGTGAGCTCCGTGGCCAGTTGTGCAAGGGCCACAACCCCATGTGCAACCTGGCCAGCACCACAGTTAAAAAGTGTGGGAATGGGCTGGAGCAATAGCACAGCTGGTAGGGCGTTGGCTTTGCATGTGGCCGACCCGCATTCGATTCCCAGGATCCCATACGGTCCCCGGAGCACTGCCAGGGGTAATTCCTGTGTGCAGAGCCAGGAGTAACCCCTGAGCATTGCTGGGTATGACCCAAAAACCAAAAAAAAAAAAAAAAGTGTGGGAACACCACTGTGGGGTGTGTGTGTGTGTGTGTGTGTGTGTGTGTGTGTGTACAATCCCCTGTCACTGCTGAAACCACAACAAAGGAAAAGAAAGGGGGAGGAAAGGAGGAAATAATAATTTTTAAAATTCTGGATCTGAGGTCAGTTTGTCACAGCAGAAATCACTCCTGGCTGGCACCTCAACATTTACAACCGTGCAGGTCAAGTTCTCCTGCTGCTTGAGGAGGTAACTGAGGGGCAGAGGAAGCAACTGGCAGCAGGCTGAATGATGGTGAATTCACATCCTGGAGAACTGTCTTGTCTGCTTTGCCAGAGATGCAGTTTATAAGGAAAAAATAGGAAGGAACATACACTTAGGCAGCACCAGTTGCAGGCTGGTAGCTGCCAGGGCAGTCAATAGTGCCATTGTGGTCTGGTCCTGGTGCTCTGCTGTCATCTAATGGGTTCCAGGTGAGTTCTAGTGGTGTTTCTGTTTTGCAATTCCTAAAGCCTTCCGATTAAGGGGTCTTATAATCATATTTAAAAATTTTCTACATGATGTTTTCCTTCTTGAGGATTTTGGGAGTAGGACAAGGGAAAAATAAATGTTCTTTGCATTTTAGCAGGTTCTGTCTGTGCTAGTTCAACAGCCCATGCCCAGAGGAGTTTGATTTCAGTTTTGTTCTTTATTCCATTTGGGAGGATTTTAGCCAGTCATCACTATCACTTCAAATCCTTTTTTTTTTTTACACCATTGTGAACATAGTCTACATACCTTTGTTCCCCCTCCAGCGTTGGGCTTTACTCATGCCAGGCATGCACTTTTAGCACTGAACCATATCCATTGGCCTCCTATGCGTCATTTGGATGTTTTCTTCCAGAACACCTCTCGGATCAGTAATTATAAAATTTCTTAACTCATTGTATGAGTATACTTTATTCACCTCATCTGCATTTGCTGTGCATCTCAGCTGTTTTTCATTTTTGGCTGTTACGCAACAGGAAGCACGAACATCTTGCGCAAGCTCTAGCTAATTCCCGGGAACGCACCGTCAAAAGCTCTGGTGCGGTTATAAGGACCCCGAACTCCGACTCCATCTCCCCGCCCACCGCCCTCGGTTCGCACCCGCCTCGCGGGACCGCGCCTCCTTCCCTCCCTCGGGGTAGTGTGGCGAGCGTCCGCCAGGGGGCAAGAGGGAGCCGCGAGGCGGGGCTAGACCACGCATGCGCACGGCGCGGGGAGCACGTGCGGAGGGCGGCCGGGACGGGAGGGGAAAGGTAGAAGGTGAAAGGTGAAGGGGCGGAGAGTTGCGCGGGCGCTGGGCCGTCGAGAAAGAGAGGGCGGGCGCCACGCACCGTACCGCGGCCGGGAGCGCGCACGCCGCGGCCCGTTCTCGCCGCTGCCGCCGCCGCCGCCGCCGCCCGGGCAACTGCTCCGGCCACAGGTACGCGCGTCCCCAGGGCGCCAGTCGGCGCGGCTAGCCGGGGCCTCCGGCGTGGAGGCGGGGGGGAGGGGTCCGGAATGGGGGCCGCGGGGGAGGGCCGCGCGGGCGTGGGCGCTGTCCAGCAGGAGCGCGGGCCGGAAAGGGGGCCGGGCCGCGGCGTCGCCACCCCCACCGGGCCGCGCCCCGCGTGGGAGCCCTGCGGCTGTGGGGGTCGCGGCGTGGCCCCGCGGTCTCGGCAGCGGCGGCCTGGGTTTCCCCGAGTGCCGAGCGGCGCCGCGGAGGCGACACTCGCTCCTCCCAGGGGGTCCCCGGTGGCTTCCAGGGTGCCGTTCTGCCCCAGCTCAGACTCGGCTCAGAGGGCTTTGCTCGCCCTCCGGGGGTCCGGGCTCGGGGGTGGGGGGGTTCTGGAGTCACGTGGGCACTCGCGCGGTTGGAGTTGCGGAAAGTTGGTCGGGCCAGGCGGAGGTGGTGTTGGCACTGGCGGGGGGGGGGGCTGTCAGGACCCCTCCCCTCCCTCCCCCCCGCGTTCGAGTCGCGCTGATGGGTGGTGACACTTGCGAGCGGCCCCGGGGGTTTGGGGGGGGGGGGCACGGGTTCTCCCGACGCGCTAGAATGGTCCTTGTGCCCGGGACCGTGGGATCTTTCACGGCGTGACCCTTTGATTGATCTGACCACGCGTTGATGGAGTTTGGTCGCTCACTGGCCGGCGACTCGAGTGAGGACCGAAGCTTCTGGTGAGCAGGTTAGCGCTGAGCCTGTCTGGTTACGCCGGAAAGAAGAGATTTTACGTGTTTCTGGGAGATGCCTCACTGATGAACTTCAACCCTCCCTCCGCCCACTCCAGTGTATTAATACAGCCTAGGCATTTTACGTATTTTGCACCATTCCCACCGGTCACATTGATGTTTAAAAAAAAAATCCAAATATATTTAAAATACCTTTCTATAGTTTCTTACGTAAAAAATGGAAAGAATTGTTTCTCGTTGATCTCAAACTGATTTCATTTGTGTGGTCTGTTGTTTCCTTGGTGTTTGTGGCAAGAACAGCACCTCAGCTGTGGCACTTGCCTAGCACGGGCCAAGCCCTCTGATTCCTGATACTGCTTGTGGTCTCCAGAGCACAAAGCTGGGAGTAGCCCCGAGCACTGCGGGGTGTGGCCCAAGTTTGAAACAAAATACAAAAAGCATCTCCAGTCATCCTCAGTTTACTTATCAGTGAGATAGGACACCCTCATTCCCATAATTTAAATTCGTTTACCATGAAGAGTTGGGTAAAAAGCATACTCCTAGTGTATGATTAGAAAATGGAAATATAGCAATTGAGGTGCACTGCCCCAGCTGGTGAACAAACCCATCTCTGTGAGGTTCCCTGCAGGTGCGATAGGCGTTGGGGTGCTCACACACATAGGAGTGTGTCTCAAGGACACTTAAATTCACGGGCGTTTGTTTACCTTCATTTGCTTGCCTCCTGCCTTAATTGTAGCCAACTCTGAGAAGTGCATCCATGGATTGTATCCTCACTCCTGCCGGTGGGAAGACTGCCTGTCCCCAGATAGAAACAGGGCTCCCAGGTTTATTCAGCTTGTACCTGGTGGATCCAAGTCTCCTGTCTGTTGGGCTCGGCCACCTGAACTGCTTCCTCTGTAACTTGCACCGTTCCTGAAATGGCCAATGAAACAAAGTCCAGATAGCTTCTTTTGCCACCTGAAGTAATCATTCAGAATAAAATATTTATTGAGATTTTGTGCTGTCTAGGTACTCTGCTCGGTGCACTAATAATAGCTTATCTCATTTGTCATAATAACCAGGGGAGATGACTGTTATCACCCCCTTAACTGATGAGTTTTCACGATCCTATCTGTCTGCCCCTGGATAACCTTGTTATGTTAGTTAGAGGCAGAGCTCAGTGCTTACCCCTGCTTATTTGTCAACAGAGTGCCTGCTTGATGCTCTTCTTGTACCTCCTGGCTTCACCATCTTTTCCATTGTCTGTTGACAAATGGGAGGTAGCACAAAGAGGCAGTAGGGGACAAGAGAGGAAGCAAACATCACAGACTTGAATTAGAAGGTGAAGCTCAGCAGGGTGGAGACAGTAGCTCGTCTAGAGTACTTGTGTCCTGCCTATAGCTAAGAGTGCTTTATGGGTCCTATGTGACCCATTCATGAGCTTGCGTTGTAGTCCAAAGACGGGTGTGTGTACTCATCTGGGGTGGACATGAATCTCAACAAACAAAACTTAATTATCAGGTTTACCTCAATTCTAGTTTTCATTGATTTATAATTTATACTGTGTATTATAGTAACATTTATAATTTATATAAAAATATACCTTTGTTGGAGATATGTGTTCAGATTTTTGGTATAGGGATCATGAGCCAAAAACATTTGAAAATCACTGGTTTCTCTTATATTTAGCATTTTCTGGGAGTGTGAAATATCTAAGATAATATGCCAGTTGTTTGTTTTATTTTGGACCTCCCAAGTAATGTTCATGGAGCACCCACTCCTGGCAGTCTGGACTGGAAGTTCAGTGCTCAGAGCTGAGACTGTGCAGCTGAGGCACTGTGGTGCCAGCATCACCAGGGCTATCTCCATGATGCTCAGGAAGCCATGGGTACCAGAGACTGAATTGGATCTGGCACATAACAAGGCATGTGCCCTAACCATGGGACTGTATCTCTGTCCTACCATTTGTTCCTGAGTTGGAAGTTAGTATGATAAAGGATCTGGTATTTCAATAGTTTGTATGTTCTAAGTAGATAGACCTCTACTTTCAAATTTGAAGCTATCATCATTTCTGTAGCCCTTCTGAAGTTTAAATTTTGTTTATCCCCTTTTGTTTTAGCCAGAGCAGCAAAATCATTAGTTATGCCAGGATGGCAGTTGTAGCTGTTTTCCAATGTTAAAGTATTTTCAAGTAATGTAAATGTTGAAATTCCAGAGGCACTTTGGTGTCACCTTTACAAGCTGGGTTTGATGTACTTAGTGACACTGTACTCTTCTCAATGAGCAGTTCCAGAATTCTGCCAGATTACGAAAAGTATTTCTCATCTTTCTGCTTATCATTTCACAATTAAAAAGAGATTAGTATCTTGACATGAGTTTGCATTAAAGTAATTGAATGGGTTTCGAGTGAGAAATGTTTTCCTGGGCTGGAGCAATATAGTGCAGCGGGTATGACGTTTGTCTTGCACGCAGAGGACCTGGGTTTGATCCCTGGCATCCTATATGGTCCCCTGAGCACTGCCAGAAGTGATTCTTGAGTGTAGAGCAAGGAGTAACTCCTGAGCATCACCACATGTGACCCAAGAAGGAAAAGCCAAAGCCAAAAAAAAGAAAAAATTTTCCTAACTAGATAGACATCTAGATAGACATTGCTTCATACCAGTGATCCTCAGAGCGAATTGAATCACATGGAGGCCGAGTTTGTTTCGGCTTTGGGGTCACATCTGCAGTGCTGGGGCTACTACTAGTTGGGTAACATTTGGAGTTAACTCCCCATGCAGAGCATGCACTCTAGCCTTCTGAGCTATTTCCCTGATCTTGGGAGAAGAGTGTTAACCCCACTTACAGAGAAGGGGGTCCTCTAGGTTAGAAGTAGGCCCTGCAATTTGAACTTTAAACAAGTGAGTCTCATGGGGCTGGAGCAGTAGCACAGCGGGTAGGGCATTTGCTTTGCATGCGGCTGACCTGAGTTTGATTCCTAGCATCCCGTATGGTCCCCTGTGCACTGACAGGAGTAATTCCTGAGTGCAGAGCCAGGAATAACCCCTGTGCAATGCCGGGTGTGACCCAAAAAGCAAAAATAAATAAATAAATAAAAATAAACAGGTGAGTCTCAAAACGTGGGGGGTGGGGAAACCATGAACATTCTATGGCCGAGAACCGTTCTCCTAGCTGGCCCACAGCGTTCACAGGGGAACGGAGAAACAGGGCCTCAGGATGGTTGGTAGACTGTATTTCTCTCTCCTCCCCAATGTAGTTTGATCTCTTACAGCACAGTAATTTCTTTTCCTTTCCCTGTCGTAGTCATCCCTTTTCCCTAGCCTCCTCCTTCTCATCCCCTTGTCCTTAGCTTCATTCTCTCTCTTCCCCTTACAGCACAGTTATAAGGAAATTATGAAATGTGGGGGTACACATAGGTGGGGTTGAACATTGTCATAACAACGAATAGATGTAAAGCCACTCCTTCAGGGGAAGCTCTAGGAGATTAGCTCAAGGACAAATCTCATCTGAGGGTTCAGCACTCTAGATTACTGGGAGATCTGCTCCAGGGTGGGATTCCATCTAGGGTATATTGCTTTCTCCTTTCCTCAGCTGCTAATCCATTTAATCAATCACAGTAAATTTATTTCTTACTAATATTTCTAGTCATTTTGTATAAACACAGTCAGAGATATATTAAGCTTAAAGGTTGGCTCTTTCTGGAGACATCTCACTATATATCCCAGAGTACAGTCCTCAGGCCGGGTTAGTCTTTCCTAAACCCCGAAGGGTCCTTATTCAGTTCTTTTTCGGTCATGACAGAGTTTGTTCCATGACCATGCTCTTATTATACTTATGGTGCTTGGCCTGCCCCCTTTCGATGCCAGGGTAGTTTACAGCCTGCCCTGGGTCCATCCAGTCCCTTCATCAGGACCCAGATTTTGGGGTTCTAGGAAGTAAGGGCAACTGAGGCTTAAGTCATGTAAATAGGATGGATGCCCAGGAGTAAATATTATTTGGAGTTAACTCCAAATGTTACAAAAGCATAGCATCAACTGTCTTCCTGTGTCTATACAAAAAGGATATTGCTAAAAAAAAAAACCCATGCAAATGACATAAAGGAAAGAGGAAAGCAGTATAGGATCATTAGTGCCTCATGGAATTGGGTGTGCCTCAGGGATTGTGGGAGTAACTTAATAAACTTAAGCTCCCTTCGGGAGGAGCAAGGACAACCCAGTGTTATCCAACAGTTACCAGGTACTACTGGCCTTGGGTACCATATTTTGAGAGCTCTGG